CTGCTCTGAGCCCAACCAGGGGCTGCACCTAGGGATTGGGCCTGCCCTCTGCCACCCGGGAACAGGCCTAAGCCAGCAGGTCGTTATCTCCTGAGGGGTCCCAGACTGCGAGAGGGCACAGGCCAGGCTGAGGGACCACCCCCGCCCCAGAGTGCACAAATTTTTGTCCACCGGGCCTCTGTGATATATAAAACTTTTAGATAAAAGTGTTTGAGTCTGAAACAAAATTTTCATGTACATTGTCTACCTTTTGAGTGTTCAAACAATGTTTTTATTAAATGTAAATTGGTAGCACAGTCAGTTTTCAGCCTTTAAATTATGGGCCCTTACACAAATTTTGTTTATTGGAATTATTTAATAGGGATTTGTAGCACAAGTTTTCTTTCAAGGGAATCATTCCAGTTCAGAAGGGTATACTCTCCAGTGCATTCCTGGCTACCCTGGCATTCTTGTCTTTTTATAATTTATCCTAGGATCTTTCTTTGTATACTTACTTGTACATTTGTCTTAATCTGTTCTCACCCTTTTGCCAGTCATAGGTATTCTGATGTCTATCATATTATAACTCTGCCTTTGTTCATGATGTTGCCTCTGTTGAAATGTCTTTCCCCCAACCTCAGGCTCTTGGCACTGTACCCATCCTTCAAAATTCACCTCCAGTACACTTTCAGTTTCTTTTCTGATCATAAATGAACTGTATTTTTCCCTTCATGTTGCTTTGTAAATCTTTTTAAGAATTCGTCTGACTTAATCTAATTATTGATATTTCCTGTGTTGCTCTGTCCACCCAATTATAAACTAGTAGTGATCAGATATTTTGTTTTTTCTTTGAAGTTATTTCTGGCAAGGCAATTTGCCTTACGTGTGAAAGATTTTCATTAAGTGTCTGAAGAATTAGCAACACATTTCATTTGTGATTAGCCTGAACTCTTAAAGGCAGCATTTGTGTCATACTTGTTTTATATTTCCAACATCCAGCACACTGCCTTTGCAATTAACATGTCTTTTGAATTGCTTTTGAAGGCTTTAGTTTGATCCTTGTATTTTAGTGTCAAGGGGAAATCAGCAAGTTGGTTTCATAGTAAATTAGAAGAATTTTCTCACTTAAGTTACGAAAACTAAAGAATATTTTATTAGAATTCTGTGAATTAGCAGAGTTGGAAAAGAGTTTTTAACAATTAAGGAACAATAATTTTTCTAAAGATGATCAAGAACCAATTAGCAGAAACTTCTGTGTCTGCCTTATGGTTAGTAATAATAAAGCAGATTAAACTTCTTCCCTCTTCTAAAAATGCAGGTTCTGGTTAAACCTTTGGGAGACCGAGGATACCTTTTTCTTCTCTCTCCTTATCAAATGGTTTCTCCATATGGTAGGTAATGTCTTTAATTTTTATAGTTCTTTATTAAGTTTTTAGGGTAAAACACATTGCCAATTAATTTGACTTCTTTTTTTTTTTTTTAGAACATCAAACTGCCAGATCTCGAATCCTACATGCTTTGTTTCTATTTCAAGAACCTAGAGGCATAGTTACTTGTAAGTTCTTTGACTGTCTAAATCCAGTCTTATATTGAAATTTCCAGATAACTCCCTAAGCAGTTTGTTTTTCTTACATCATGTTTTAGGAAGTACTGGGGGTAGTAAGAGCTATTAGCAAAGTAAAGTACAAATTATATGACTTGATTTGTTATTTTTTACTATGAAAAATTATTTGGGTTTTAATCGTTTTTTCACTAAATGTTGATTGTAATCGTTATAACACAATGGCTTAATTTTTCAGGGTTTTATAAAATATGATTTTTAAAAAATCTTAGTTCATTTTTGCATTCAGATTTAACAACTGTAAAAGCATCATGTGCTGGGTTAAATATTAGGCCATTCAAAATTAATTAGAATTTTTCACACTGATATCCGACAAAATTTGCTTTTCACCATTCCTAAGAACTAACTTTAGTGCTATATTAAGATAAAATTCCCACTAATGTCTTTCACTGTTAGATTAAGAATGAGATTCTCAGTTGTAGCACTCAGTGCCTGCACATCTCCTTATGGGGATAGAGTTCTTACGAAGTTCTTATAACAGGAAGGAATGCCATTGCTATCCTGGGTAAGACTATCTTGCGAGGAGCCTCATATCTTGCCCTGCTTCTTTATTTCTCCTGACATTTTGCTTGCCCCAAGTTGAAAGGCCTAGTTACAAAAGGAAATGAGATCTTCAATGAGTGGGTATTTTCCCCTTTAAAAATATGTTCTATAATTTCCTTTGTTTTAGTTTCTCATCGGCTTGTTTTAGTCCCCTAGACTTAGAAACATGTGATTCATATATTTCTATGTTACATATATGTATTAAGGTACATACGAGTTTGGTTCACCATTAATGTATGAATGTTAACATTTCTTTGACAATATGTAGATCTGTATTTGATTAGTTTCTTCATTGCTAACATGGCTTACTCTTTTTGTTTGTTTACAGCACAAAAAGGTTCAACCAATGTAGCACCAGCACAAAAAGGTTCAACCAATGTAGCACCACCAGAGAGACACGAGAGCATGCCAGATATATTGAAAATAACTCAGTTTTTACAGTTTGCTTTGATTCGGTGTCGAAAGGAATTAAAAGATATAAATAGTATAAATTTTCATTCTGGTGTTCAAAAGTATGTAAGTGAATTTTTTAAGCGAGGTTTTGGTTCAGGTAAACGAGAGTTTATTATGTTTCCATATGATTCACGATTAGATGATAAAAAATTCTTATACCCAGCTCCAAGAAATAAATCCCATATTGATGATTGTTTGCATACCTATATTTTTCGGCCTGAAATGTATCAGTTACCTATTTGTCAGTTAAAAGAGCTATTTGAAGACAATAGAAAACTTCAACAGTTCGGTCAACTTTCAGATTATGAAGGCCACGAAGAAATGAATGGCACAAAAAAGAAATTTGGGAAACGAAATAACTCAAGGGGTGAGACTATTAAACCTGGAAAGCAGAAGTCATCTCACTCTTTGGATCATGATAAGGATAGATTCAAAGAATTGATTAATTTGATTCAGTCTAGGAAAAAAAATGTGGGTGGGGACTCAGACACAGAAGATATGAGAAGCAAAACTGTCTTGAAGAGGAAGCTTGAGGATCTACCTGAAAATATGAGAAAGTTCGCCAAAACCAGTAATTTAGCTGAAAATTGCCATCTGTATGAAGGTAAAATATCAGTTTGCTCTTACACAGTATAAAAATAATAACCAAAAATATAGTAAAGTAGTTCTGTCCTTTCTTCTAGCATAGGGGTCTGCAGATTACAAAGTGAAAGCCAATCCAGCCAGTTTTCTGTTTTTGTAAAGAAAGTATTGGAATACAGCCATGCCTATTCATTTATGTGTATACATAGTTGCTTTCACACTATAATGGCAGAGTTGGGACAGAGATTTTATGGCCCAAAAGCCTAAAATATTTACTGTCCGGTCCTTCACAGAAAATACAGTTATTTGCCAACTCCTACCCTAGCACATTGGATTTCTGAATTGTGTAGCTTAGACAAATGTGAGAAAATAAAGTATTCTCAGCTTTTAGCCTACTAATTGGACCACCTGTCCTTTCATATTTCTTTTTTTTTCTAATTAAATCTTTATTGTCTAGATTATTACAATTGTTCCTCTGTTTTCCCCCTATAGCTCCCCTCCACCCGGTTCCCACCCCACCCACTGCTGTTACCCTCTGCCCCCACAAGTGTCCTCATCCATAGGTGTACGATTTTTTTCCAGTCTCTTCCCACACCTCCCACACCCCTTTTACCCTGAGAATTGTCAGTCCACTCCCATTCTATGCCCCTGATTCTATTATATTCACCAGTTTATTCTGTTCATCAAATATTTTCT